AAGGATGTTCAAACACTTGTAAGGTAACTATGGAAACAGGCTCCAAGTTTTGTGTCTCATTTAAAAGACAGCCGAACCCTCAAAATTAGCCTAATTGCCAGTATTTACAAATCATCTGCATAAAGCAGTTCTTCAGAGACAGAGTTAGGGGAGGCCCATGGTGGCTGTGCTATTTTGAGGACAGAGTGGCTGCCAGGCCTGCCAGCTCTGCTGCCCGCTCAAGCACCCCACCACTGGGATTTTTTACTTTGCTTCCTGAAATCACAGGAACATTTTTTCTATCGTTGCTTCCTCTACAAAGGCAACTACATAATTATTTTTGAAAGTTAAGAAAACTGATCCAAATATCCAAAAGCCCCAAATGGCAAGGTCAAACTTCAACTCAACATGTCTTTTTGTTCCAAAATGTACAAAATCACATGGTGTAACCCCGCATATCTCAAAACGTTAATCTGGGTTGAAAAGTTCAGCATGATTAACTCCTGACTGTGCAGCTGCCTTGTTGATTTTGGCCCCATATGAGGGACTCTTGTTTATTTGCTCATAAAGTATCTGTGGAAGAATGACTGGTTTTAAGGGTCTTTCCACTAAACCATTTTGGAGAAATGAGTGACTTGCCTTGTTTTCACTTCAGCCACGGGTCAAGGATGATTACCCCAAATACCCAAAAGTTTTCCGCTACACCGAACCTGTTCTTTGTCAGAACGGCATCCGAACTTCTCACCTACTTACATGCTTTTTTCTGAGTAAAGCTTTGGGAAAATAATTATGTTTGCTCTGCCCGCTTACTCTTCCTCACCCTGGACATTTTTATTGATGCTTTTCTAATGAAAACTGATAAAGGGAAGGGTGAAGTTTCCAAGCCGTGTGGAAGGCACATGTCACAAAAAGAACAGAGAAATAGCTGGAAGAAAACTGGAAGTTTGGGATTTACACGATCAGCTGCTACTTAGAGTTGGGGGGCTTTGAATCTACACATCACGGTAACCCTATGAAGCAGGCACCTGATTCTGTCTGTCTGATACAGTGCAGATGGGCACAGAGAGATCAGGGAACTGGCCCAGGTTCACACAGCTGGTGAGACACAGAGCCCAGCCTGGAACCAGGCTGTCTGGAAGCTGAGCTCTGAAACTTGGCCTATTAAGTAAATGAAAAGAGATTAAGGGGACGGCCTGGTGGCGCACTGCTATAGTGTGCTGCTTGGGAAGCGCAGCGGCGCTCCTGCCGAGGGTTTGGATCCCACATACAGACCGGTTC